TAGGCCAAGGACGAACTACAGCCTACAAGCCCGTTGCCAGTTCTTGTAAATAAAGTTTTATTGGCACATAGCCACACCCACTCATTTACATATTATCTGTGGCTACTTTCAAGATACAAAGGCAGAACTGACAAGCAGTACAGAGCTGTGTGGCCTGCAAAGCTGAAAACATTTACCACCTAGCCCTTGATATAAAAGTTTGCCAAGCCTTACTTTAGACACAAATATAACCTACTTAGCATGTTGTACTAACTAGGAAGCTCAGAGCTAAATGTAATGTAAAATTTTAGTAACTCACTCATATTCAATATTTTTTAAACCTTTATGCCTATATGCTTTGGTCTTCTAATCCCATTTTAAAATTTTATTTAAAAAAACTAGTATTCCCTGAGTACATATTATATGCCTGGCACTGAATGAAACCTTTTAACATGTTCTCTTATTTAATTCTCACAATAGACTCATGGGGTAGGTAATATTATCTTTTTATTTATTTATTTATTTGGGAGATGGAGTCTCACTCTGTCACCCAGGCTGGAGTGCAGTGGTGCAATCTTGGCTCACTGCAACCTCCGCCTCCCAGGTTCAAGCGATCCTCCTGCCTCAGCCTCCTGAGTAGCTGGGATTACAGGCACATGCCGCCACACCCATCTAATTTTTCTGTTTTTAGTAGTGATGGGGTTTCGCTATGTTGGCCAGGCTGGTCTTGAACTCCTGACCTCAGGTGATCTGCCCACTTCGGCCTCCCAAAGTGCTGGGATTGCAGGCATGAGCCACCGTGCCCAGCCCTTATCTTCGATTTGTTGAGAATAAATGAATGAAAAGAATAAACGAATAAAGTCACCAATTGATTGCATAGTGGAAATATATGTACTATTTCATAATTTAATACCAGAGAATAACTCAGGAATTGACTGAAAAACTTTGGGTGCTGAACGATATAACAGGCAGGGCTGAGATAGTAACTGCAGGCAATTTGAGCCAAATTATAGGATTGTAAAGTGCTGTCATTCTAGGATCCTTATTATTTTCAATCTAGCTTCAGACTAAGCTGTGCAGTCACTTCATCATGAATCTTCAGGATTTGGGGAGAATCAGCAGACATGACACAGAGCTACTACTCAAGTCACAGGCTCAGACACTGCCTCCAGTGACGTGGCCAGAGCCACACAGCCAGAGCACCACGAATAGAAAGAATTACCGGTGCCCCAATGCAGTCCTCTTCAGGAGGACTAGGTCCACATGTCGCTAACAGCACTTTTGAAGAGCTGACCTTTTCTTAATTTAAATACCAACCTCCTAAGCAGTATTATCTGCAAAATCACAGGTCTCACGTACTAATTGTTGTTTTTTCTAATTTGAGTTAAACACAAAAATTTTTTTTATTCTTATCTATAACCTGAAATCATCTTGCATTGCTCATCAGCACACTTTGAGAAACACTGGTTGGACAGGAGTAGGGGTGTCGAGGCTGACAGATGGGAGTGCAAACACCAGCTTCTCTGCTCTCTCCATCAATAACCGTGGCAGCTTTCTGGATCTCATTGAACCTCAGTTTGTTCATATGTATAAGAGGGAGACACATCCCCCTCACCAGATTAGAAGGTCAACTGGGCACATTCCAGGTATTCATACACACCAGCTCTTAAGCAACCTTGGGCTGTTCACTGAGAACCCCTGGAGATGACTAAGTCACAGTCCTTCTCTCATGGCCACCCTGGGTAGACCGTCAGGGGCTCCAGGCACCCCATGGGGAACAGGTCCAAGACGCTAGGTCATCTCCAGGAACCTGGCCAGGATGTCAGTGTGGGTGGCAGGGCAGCCTCTACGACTACAGAGTATGGAGAGTGTGCTGTCAATCATTCCAGGAGCCCATCAAGTGAAAACAACACAGGCTGGGACTGCTCTAGCAGTAGTCAGGGGTAATAGGGCTCTTCTAAGTGGTTGAAGGCAGGCTTGTGACATGAAATCAGGACAGCAAGCTCCTGCACCATGAGCAGAAATGCAAACTGTTCAGGCAAAAGTCCAGGGAGAACTGGGAGAGCTGCCTCGGATGCATAATGCACCAGCAGCACCAGCACCCACCATCTAATTGATGAGTCTGGGAGCCACTAGGTCTGGTTTGCCCAACCACATCCTCGTGTACACCTGTCGTCCCAGAGTAAGTAATATAGCGCCCCTTTCACTCTCAAGTCTCCCGGCTGAGAAGAGAAGTTAGCCAGTTTCCCTATGAATGAATGTACTAAGGCCCAAAAAGGAGAGGTAGTTTGCCCGAGGTCACAGTCACTGGTGGCCAAGAAGGGAGAATGTGCAGCTCTCAGCTCCAGGCAATGTTGTGCAGTGGCTTTGGAGTTAGGCAGGGCTGTCCAAATGCTGCCTGTATTCCCTGGGGACACTTGATTTCCCTCTGGGTGCTCCAGTTACTTCAGTGGTAAAACAGGCTGGGCAAAGTGGGTCATGCTTGTAATCCCAGCACTTTAGGAGGCCGAGGCAGGCAGATCATTTGAAGTCAGGAGTTCAAGACCAGCCTGGCCAACAAAAATTAGCCAGGCATGGTGGCGCATGCCTATAATCCCAGCTACTCGGGAGGCTGAGGCACGAGAATCACTTGAACCAGGGAGGCAGAGGTTGCAGTGAGCCGAGATTGTGCCACTGCACTCCAGCCTAGATGACAGAACAAGACTCAGTCTCAAAACAACAACAACAACAACAAAAACAAAACAAAACAAAACAACAGTAAAACTGATCATCACCATAATGGTGCGCATCTCATAGGTCTGTTTTGAGGTTTGAATGGAAAAACAGGTGCCATGTGCCCTGTAGAGATCATGGCTTAATCAATGGACATTATTACTACATCAGTGTCCTTGCTGACACAGAGAAGGAATCTTATTCATTGTCATAACCATTCTGTGTCCTTTGGTGCCTGAGCCCACTCTGGTCCTACTGTGAAGAGCGGGAGATAACCCAGATCACCACAATTGGGTTGTTGTAGGCAGTAACTGATAAAAGGGGAAAAAACAGAGCTATGGACCATGTGATAAGTGAGGCACAGCTGCCACCACGATAGGGTGTGGGGAGAGGGCAGGAAGGGGTGAGAGAGGGCCGGGAAGGCACAAGGGAACGGGGAGTGTGCTGCCTCTGTCGTTCCCAGCTGACCCCCTCCCATCCAGAACCTCTCTGCTCACCACTGTGGGCCTCTCTCCAGACCCTCAGCAGCCCCCTTGAAATGACTCCTCTGCCTGCCCCTACGTGACCACAGAATAGCAAGCACAGCCCAGCACGTGCTGCAGCTCACCGCCACACACACCCTTCCCAACACTGCAAGGAAGTCTTCAGCTGAAGCGGCCTGGTTCCGTGTAAAACACGAGGCAGTTCTCAGCTTCTGGCTCTGCCTTCTCCTGGATAAATAACCTTGGGCAAGGTACATGGCCCCTCAGAGCCTCAAGGCGCTCAACTGTGCAATGAATACACCATTGCTCTCCTAGTGGGATTGCTGGGTTAAGTCATAGATATACTCAAAAAAAAAGTGTTTCCCTTCTGTCTGACCTTTTCAAAGACACCAAGAGAAAACCACTGAGAGTCACCATATTTGATCAAGGCAACTGTGATGCCACAAATAAAAAGCCTACTACGTGTCTAGCCTGTGAGCATCGCAAATGCATTTCCTGAACTCAGAAAGATTACTTTCTAGTGTGAGAGAAAGACATGAAACCCAATAACTCGCACAAATGAATATACAATTATAACACATCCAGGAGCTATGGGTGAGAACAGCATGGAACACCCAGAGGGACATTATTTACTTTAGGAGGTCAGGAAAGGCTGTCTGAGAAAGTGCTGTCGGGCGTGAGCAGAACTAGGAATCCAATCAAAATCAGACTCAAGGCCCCACCCCAACCGTGGTCTCAGCCACCACACGCCAGGTGGCCTCAAGTGGCCTGAGAGCTGGACCACTTGCTGTTTGAGCTGCAACTCTCCTTCAGGCAGCTTGGCACCACTCATCGCTCACATCTAGCAGCCTCCCAGGCCACCAGGCCCGGACCTGAGAGGCCAGTCCTTCCACTTGTCAGCTGCAGAACTGCAACAGGCCTTTGTGGCCAAGCCGGCTGCTCCCTCCCTCCAGTTGGCACGAGACTCCATTTCCTCATCTGCCACTGACTTGTCACTCTGCCTTCCCATGGGCTGCAGGGAAACTGACCTTTAATCAACTGTCCACGCCAACCAGCTGTGCTCAGGTCACAGTCCAGTACTGCCTCCCTGGCTCTGCTCGGAAAGATCATCAGGGCCAAGAAACGTCCACCATCCCCAGAAGCTACCCCGAGCCAACATCACCCACCACGTGCTGAGTGTCTGTCATGTGATCAGCATTTCAATGACTACTTGGCGATCTTCAACTCCAGTCCTGTGGTGTGTGATAATACTTACTTAACCCTTCACGGCAGGGAGAGGAATCCATCAGTCTGCATGGAGGCACGCAGTGTGTATGTGTTAAAGAATCACACCCGGGCCTGCCTGCCTCCACATGCATCTGCCCACATACAACCCTCACAGTACCAGCCATATGGCCTTATGTTGTTCCCGGCTTTGAGCACAGAGCCAAGAAATTATCCCCCCATGCATAGCTTTCCATTGAATCTCCCATGTCTTAATTCATTAACAATCCTGTCTTAATTTTCCCTTTCTGCAGCATGAGAGACTGCGCCAAGTGACACACGATGTCTTCAGGGCACAGAACCAACAGCAGAGGCACTTTACAGGGAGGTAGATGGTGACAGATAGGTAAACTGAGAAAATCAGAAAATGGTGACAGGTACAATAACACACGTCAGCGCAGGGAACAGTAACGGCTTCCAGGAAGGACCTCTTTGGTTCCATCTGTCTCCCCCAGGCACCCAGCATCACACCAGCCACACAGAGGGTGCTCATTAAATGCCAGCTCATTGAGACGACCAGCCACATCCCAGTGAACCCTCCGCCACCAGCCAGGACAGCCTCACCTCAAGCCCAGCTGAGCGCCGGACGGAACATGCATCAGATGCTTCACCAGGAAGAGTCGGGGTCTTACATTCCATAGGGAGACCCAAAGGAAGTTGGCAGAGACCCAAGTAAACAGAGATCTCAGTCCTCACAGCCAGCTGCGGTCCTTCATCCCGCATGGACATCCAAGCTGTAAGAATCCATGAGGCATTCAGCCAGGGCCTCCTTTAAAACCACTTTTAGTATCCCGAAATGTGCAGGGCGTGTGTCATTCCAGTGCATTGTTCCACCAGAGTTATTCCTCAGACGACCGAAGATCACTGTAAATCCATCAGGCTCAGAAAATACTCGAACGAAGCTCCATGCAGCTGACAGGCATAGCCATCTTGAGGGGCATCTTTTTAATCTCCTTCTAGCCAAAAGATCAGGCCTGCAACAGGGAAGAAGAAAAAAACAGTCTTGTCATAGTCACTGACCCAGAGCAGTATTCAGTCACTCTTTCCTCCTTGTGTTTGGCCCTAACAGAATGTAATTCACTAAAAATAATTCTCCATAACTAGTAACACACAAAATTGAGACCAGCGTCCAGGGAGGACTTCAGGTGAGAGCTGCCTCCCCTGCGGCACCAAGGACCTCTCAGACAGGGAACTGCCAGCTGCTCAGAGCTGCGGGACCACCCTGGGAGGGGAGAGGAGGCTGTGGGGTGTCCACTATAAAGTTGAGAGGAGAACATTTGTGACTGGCTTAGAAAGCTGACAGCAAGGCCAGGCCTGGCACACAGCCTGGGCTCCCCTGCAGGGCTGAGAGGTCCCTGCAGGGAGCTGAGAGGTTTAGGGTCAGCTGGTAGGAAGTAGTTCTTTGTTTTGTTTCTTTTTAAAGACAACCACAAAACCCTGGCCTGGCTCCAGGCGTTGTCCTGCACTGTGAGCCTCTTCAGGGCAGGGTCTGGGACCTGTTCTGTTCTTACTCATTCATTCAGTAATTACTGAGTACCTGCCAGGTACCCAGCACTCTTCTATCAGCAGGGCAATAGCTTTGTCTTCCCAATCCAGTGTATTTAAATTACTCCAAAGATAACTGAAGAACAAATTGATCCATAATGCCTAGAGCTGGAGGCTTAATAGTCCCCAGCCCATCCAATGATAACAATAACTGCCCTTTGGGGAATGTCTATGAGGTACCTGCTAAAACCTCTGGCTTCTCCATCTGGTATGATCTCTCCAACACCCTGGGACTCCTGCCCCTGTTTTCCAGATGAAGAAATGGAGGAACAGATAACCATTCTGTTTCAGACTAGTAAGAGAGGAGCCTAAATCTGAGGCTAGACAGTCTGTCTCCCAAGTCTGTTCCCTGATCCATCGCTTTAAGTTACCTAGTGAGGGATTCTTGCCCATAATGGCTGCAGCTGAAAGTTACTTCCAGGCTTTCTGCGTGTGTGAAACCCTCATTTCACCCTCACAAAAATACTATGAGTTGTAGATTATTGTTAACCAACCTTAGAGATGAGAAATTTGAGGCCCAGAGAAGCGAAGCAACTTCTACAAGGTCACACAGCTTAAAAAAAAAAAAAAATTCACAGGAAAAGGGTTTGAGGCTGGGCGCAATGGCTCACGCCTGTAATCCTAGCACTTTGTGCTGCCGAGGCTGGTGGATCCCTTGAGGCCAGGAATTCAAGACCAGCCTGGCCAACATAGTGAAACCCTGTCTCTACTAAAAATACAAAAATTAGCTGGCTGTGGTGGCGCATGCCTGTAATTCCAGCTATTTGGGAGGCCAAGGAATGAGAATCGCTTAAACCAAGGAGAAGGAGGTTGCAGTGAGCCAAGATCACACCACTGCACTCCAGCCTGGGCCACAGAGTGAGACTCTGTCTCAAAAAAAAAAAAAAAGAAAGAAAGAAAGAAAGAAAAAAGAAAGAAAGAAAGAAAGAAAGAAAAAGAAAAGAAAGAAAGAAAGAAAGAAAAAGAAAGGAAGGAAGGAAGGAAGGAAGGAAGGAAGGAAGGAAGGAAGGAAGGAAGGAAGGAAGGAAGGAAGGAAGGAAGGAAGGAAGGAAGGAAGGAAAAGGGGTTTGAAACAAGGCCGACTGGCAGACTGACTCCAAAGCCCATGAGTTTGACCACTACTCCAACTTCCATCAAACGCAATGATTACTGCCAAAGAAATGTTTACAAATGTAGTGGTTTCAAACAGAAAAAGAAATAAAAAATAAAACAGCCATGTTTATGATCTTACATTTCTGGAAGTCTGACATGGGTCTCACTGGGCTAAAATCAGGCTGTTGAGAGGGCTGCGTTTCTTTCTGGTGGCTGAGAGGGAATGTGTTTCCTTGCTTTTCCAACCTTCTAAAGGCTGCATTATAGGCCTTGGCTGTGGCTTCTTCCTCCATCTTCAAATACAACACCAAAGCATCTCTTTGACTCTGCTTCTGTGGCCATATCTCTGTCTCTGAATAACTCTTTGCCTCCCTCTTCCACTCCTAAGGATGCATGTGATTATATTGGGCTCACCCAGATGATCCAAAATAATCCATCTTGAGGTCCTTAGCCTCACTAGCATCTGCAAAGTCCCTGTTGACATGCAACATATTCACAGGTTTCAGGGATTTGGATGTGGACATTTAGGAGGATGTTATTCTGTCTGCCATACAACAATAACAGAGGGCACCCATCTCCTGTTTTAAGCGTTCTTCCGTGAGGAGGCACCACCCATCCTCAAAATGGAAATCAAGCTAGCTACCTCACCCTGCCCACAATGCACACAGCCACACACACTTGCAGCGGCCAATGAAGAAATCACGAAGAAAACAGTAAGGTATGTTTTCTTCTCAAAAACATATCCGGCCGGGTGCCATGGCTCACGCCTGTAATCCCAGCACTTTGGGAGGCTGAGGCGGGGGGATCACAAGGTCAGGAGACGGAGACCATCCTAGCTAACATAGTGAAACCCCGACTCTGCTAAAAATGCAAAAAATTAGCCCGGCATGGTGGCGCACACCTGTCATCACAGCTACTTAGGAGGCTGAGGCAGAACACAGGAGGCAGAGGTTGCAGCGAGCCAAGATCGTGCTACTGCCCTCCAGCCTAGGTGACAGAGCGAGATTCAGTCAAAAAAAAAAAAAAAGAGAGAGAGATAGAGTGAGATTCTGCATCCAAGTTGGGTTTGACTCCAAAGCTGTTTTCTTTCCATTCTGAAACACACTCTTTCTTATTTAAATAAGATAGTGTTTCTAGGCCAAGCGTGGTGGCTTATGCCTGTAAATCCCAGCACTTTGGGAGGCTGAGACGGGTGGATCGCCTGAGGTCAGGAGTTTGAGACCAGCCTGGCCAACATGGTGAAACGCCGTCTCCACTAAAAATACAAACAATTAGCCAGGTGTGGTGGCAGGTGCCTGTAATCCCAGCTACCTGGGAGGCTGAGGAATGAGAAGCACTCGAACTCAGGAGGTGGATGTTGCAGTAAACCGAGGTTGCACCATTGCACCCCATTCTGGGTGGAAGAGCACAGAGTGAGACTTTGTCTAAAAAATAAAATAAAATAAATAAGACAGTGTTTCTAGAAAGTTCAAGAAGGTTCTGGCATTGGTTGAGTAGTTCCTATTGAAGCAGTTCCCTGGTAGATAGCAACTATAAACTCTGAACAAATATTTTTAAAAAATCAAAAATCTAGTCACCAGATGATCAAAAGTAGGACATTCTGGAGTGTGATCAAGACTTGGAAACCCAGCAATCCAGTGAGTTCTTGCTTTTGGTCAATTTTAGCCTGAGAGTAGGCCCGGTTCTGCAACACGAGTGGCTAACACTCAGATGGTGTTGCTGCACTGAAACATCAGGACAGAGATCAAGGCAACACAATAGGTAAAAGAAGAAATCTGGTAAAAAGAGAGTTTCCAAAAAGGGGAGTTCAAATTCTGTGTACAAATGTTCCCTAACTCACTAAGCGACTCCTGAGTGAAGTTTGCATGCAATAGCCCAGTTAAAGCCAAAAGAACTAAACAGCAATTTATATTGCTTCCCAATACTAGGGAGTCAGAGTTTGAAGTCTTAGTTTACTGAGTTAACTACCTACTGAAACAAAAAAGCACTACTCTTTGGAGGAACAAAACAGAATCAGTCCCTCACAATGTCTGTGATATAATTTAAAATAGCTCAATATAATAAACAACTAAAAGAAAAAGAAAGCAGGAAATGTAATCCATTCTTAAGAAAAAAGATAGTTATGGGGACCGTCCCCATGACCCTGAGGTGACCCAGTTTCTGGAATTAGCAGACAAGGGTTTTTTAAGCAGCTATTATAACTATGCTCAAAGACTCAAAGGAAAATGTATTCTTAGTAAATAAAAATAAGAAAGCTTAGCAAACAAAGAGTCAAATGGAAATTCTAGAATTAAAAAAAAAAAATCTGAAACAATCGATTGGATCCATTTAACAGCAGACTGAAGAGGAACGAAGAGTCAGTACAATTTGAGGAGAGACCAATAGAGATTATTTAATCTGAATAACAGAAAAAATTTTTGAAAAATTGAAGACGGCCTCAGAGACCTGTAGGACAATATCAAAAAGCCTAACAGACAAGTAATTTTAGTCCCAAAAGGAGAGAAGAGAATGGAGCGAGATCAATATCTGGGGGGGGGAAAGGATGCCCTGAGGTGACCCAGTTTCTGGAATTAGCAGACAAGGGTTTTTTAAGCAGCTATTATAACTATGCTCAAAGACTCAAAGGAAAATGTATTCTTAGTAAATAAAAATAAGAAAGCTTAGCAAACAAAGAGTCAAATGGAAATTTGTGAATTAAAAAAAATCTGAAACAATCGATTGATCCATTTAACAGCAGACTGAAGAGGAACGAAGAGTCAGTACAATTTGAGGAGAGACCAATAGAGATTATTTAATCTGAATAACAGAAAAATTTTTTGAAAATTGAAGACGGCCTCAGAGACCTGTAGACAATATCAAAAAGCCTAACAGACAAGTAATTTTAGTCCCAAAAAAGGAGAGAAGAGAATGGAGCGAGATCAATATCTGGGGGAAAGATGAAAGTGTTCTAAATTCAGTGAAGGACATTAATTTATAGATGGAGGAGGATATCAGCAAATCCATGCAGTGTGTGTATGTGTGTGTGTGTATATATATATATATATATTTTTTTTTTTTTAATCACACCTAAGTATATAATAGTTGAACTGCTGAAAACCAATGTTTGAAAAAAGTCATGAAAAGAGACAGATAAAAACAGTGGTTCTAATTTCTTAAAATCATTGAAAAAACATAATTACATCTGAACTCAGTAAGTGCTCTGCAGGTGACTTCCTCTTGTTCCATTTATTTATTTATTTATTTTATTTATTTTTTCCTTGAGACAGAGTCTTGCTCTGTTGCCCAGGCTGAGTGCAATGGTGCCATCTCAGCTCACTGCAACCTCCGCCTCCCAGGT